ACTGCCCCCCCCGCCCGCCCCGCTGCCCCCCGCGTTGCCCCCCGCCCCCCAGTCTTACTGCGCTGTGCCTGCCCCCCCAGGCTCGCTGTGGCCTCAGGCCGTGGCCCAGCTGGCTGAGGGAGGGTGGCTCAGTGGTGGGAGCACATCCACTGCAGCCTCCGACGCCCACACGGTCTGTAGCCCACGCTAGGGGCAAGGAAAAGGCTTTGCCTAGGCAAGCACCTGGTGGTGTCTGAGCCGTGTCTAGCAGCTCCCAGCCCTGTGTAGCCCGGGAGCGTGGGCCACACGCCAGCTGCTGAGCCCGGGCTGACGTGCAGCCTGCCGGGGAACACGCTCTAACCCCCCCTACGTTCCCGTCGTGAGGGAGCCGCACCAGAGACCCGCTGCCCCCCGTGCTGGGGCCACTCAACTGCTGCTGGGCCTGCCCCGTCAGCACCCTGCTGCCCTGGGCTCCCGCCAACAGACTAGGCCAGTCCCAAGAACCGCCCCTCTTGCCCCTGGGCCACACCCCTCTCCTCGCTGGCTGGCGCGAGCTGTGTGCCATGTCTTCCAGGTTCAGAGAAGGAGGATGCCCAGTGTGGGAACTGCCAGCCTGGCTTCTACCTGGAGGGCAGCGAGTGCCGAGCGTGTTCCAGGTAAATACCCTGGGATTTCTTGGTTTGCTTCCCCCTCCAGCTCTCCCATTAGACACCCCCCCACTGAGCGGGATTGCAGCTACCCTGAGCCCAGCAGCCCTGGCCCCCTGCCACTGGCCGGGCCAGAAAGCTAGGCCAGGGCGGCACGAGAGCACAGTGGCTAAGGCAGGGGGTTAGTGAATGCCCCAGGGCAGGGCCTGGGTTGGACTCTGAGGCACCCTGTGCCCCATGACACCCTCCTAGGGGATTTGCACCGGCAGATCTTAGCGCACTGGCTGCCGATGCCAGTACAGCTGTTAGTGAGGTGAGCTCTGTGCCCTGGCGCTCTCCCCGGCTCCCGCTGGTTGTGACTAGTTATGAGCCCCAGAATTTCACAGCAAACTCAGCTGGGAAGTGCCTTATCTGCGATGCTCACCTGCCACAGTTCAGTCCTGGCTGACCACTCACACCCTGTCACCAGCCAATACCAGTCCCTGGGGCTCGCAAACCCCCCGGCGTGACCCATCCAGCAGAGCCTGTGTGTGCAAGTCATGGAGCCAGGTGCAGACACCAGGGTGATGGGCTGGAGAACAGAGACTAGGGCTACGCTCCAGGTAACAAAGGGCTCGTCTACGTGTGGCATTGTTCCTGATTGACTCCTTGGTCTGGAATCGGAGTGGCCACACGTGGAGCTGGTCAGGCACACCTAGTACACTTGCCATTCACCCCCTGCCTTAATCTGCATTAATGGCCATGTGTAGTCAAGCCCCTCTTCAAACCAAACAGCTGGCTGGGGTTGGGCACCAGGGAGCATGGGAAGGTCTCTCCAAAGCAGCCCGTGGAACGTGGCAGGGCTGGCGGTGGGACACGGGCCCTGACAGAGCCACACCGGCGCTAGTGCCAAGACGCCTGTTCTCCCGGCGCTCTGGGAAAGGACAGGTTAGACGCCCACTTTCTGTTTCTCTTCACCGGTCTCCTCTGCAGCCAGTTCCCCGAGAAGTGCGGCGAAGGGTGCGGCGGGCCATGTGGTGGCAGCAGCCAAGGTAGGTGGGAGCGTGGCACATGGGGAGGTGCTGGCATCCGGTGCTGTGCTCAGGCACTAGTCTGGAGGGGGGCGGGCGCTGGCCCAGAATGTGCTCAAGGGGTTGCGGGAATAGGGCTGCGGGCTGTGCCTGGCGTACAGGGCGAATGCAGGTCTACTCGGGGGGTGGCTTGGGGCGGGTACTGCAGGGAGTCAGTGCTCGGGGAGGCCCTGCCTCCTCGCACCATTGCTTAGCCAGGAGCAGTGGTACCGAGCCCCCAGACCTCGCATGCTCGTCACCAACCCCAGCTAACCTCACTGCCTCGGAGTGGCTCCATCCCGCTGGCTCGCCGGGGCAGGGCCTGCTCTGAGCTCAGTCACACTGGCGGAGAGCTGGAGTAACTAACTGCCCTGTGATTCCTGAGCTGGGCAGCCCCTTGTGTGCTGTGAGCTGAACTCCGGCCCTGCTGGGCAAGGCCCCGAAGGAGGAGAGAGCCCTTGGCCTTGCCTGGGCTGTCCCTGGCGCAAGTGGGGCGGTGAGTGGAGCAGAATGCAGGCAACTGAGCTGTAACCTCCTGCGTCTTTGTTTCAGGCTCTGGGCTGGAGTACATCCTGCTGGGCCTCATGGGTCCCCTCTTCCTAGGAGCGCTCGTCATCTACCACAAGAGGAGGACGATCAGGAATGATTCCCCAGCAGCCGGTAACCCACCCCCACGCTGTCTTAGCCATTAGCCTCCCCCTCGTGCTCGACTCTGCGTTTTGCACAGCAGAGCCCCTGGCCCGGGCTAAGGGAGGCCTCGTGCCCAGAGCCCTGGGGCACTGACTAATGGCTCCGTCTCTCTCCTGGCAGGTGAGGCCGCAGCAGTGAAAGACTCGACGCTGCAGCAGGTGAGAGCCCAGCCCGGGCACATGGGACCTGCCTCGGCCTAAACGCACTGCCCACCCTGCCTGCGCCCCTTCGCCCGCGCCATCGGCAGGGCCCACGCCCTGGGGTCTGGCTGCCCCTGCCCTGCAGCGCTAACACACGCTGCTTGGGACGGCCGTGGCTGCTGGCCCTGCTCGTGCTGCGGCCTGGAGGCTGGGGCATTTGTAGCTGTTTATGGCTAGTTCAGATCCAGGTGAAGGGCCATAGTTCTCCCCTGCAGGCTGGTCATTGGCACTAGGAGATGAGTTTGACGGGTCTCAGCTAGTTCCCAGTGAACAGGTGCCCACCCCCCTCACTGGCAGCCTCGGCAGAGGGGCTGGGGACTGTTGCTTATTTCAGAGCAGCTTATCTTGACCTAGGATGTCTGCCCAGCCAGGAAGCCAGGAAATTCCTCCTCCGCCCCCACCCCTGCCCCGGCCCAGCAGGGAGCTGCCCACTAGGCAGACCTCTCTCCTGTCCTGCTGCACCAGGCTGCTGGCTCCCCCCGGCCAAGAGATCAGGGCTTCCCTCGCAAACGGTGGCTTCTTTCTGTTCCAGGCCTCAGCGTGTCCGTCTGGCACCGTAGAAAAGCCCCCGGAGTCGCAGGGTTTGCTCCATCTTCAGGTCACGGAGGCATCGCAAATGAACGGCAACGCCTGTTCAGTCAGGCCCCTTGGCAGCCGGGACACCTGGGAGTCGCCCGCGGGGCCCCAGGACACAGCAAGTAAGCCACGCACTGCAGAAAGGTGCCTCGTGCCGCGGCACATGCAGCCACCCTGGCTGCTTGCCAACATCCCAGGCTCCCGCCCTAGGCACGGGGCTGGCACCGGCACATCAGACAGCTCCTCACTGGTTCCCCCTCAGCCTCTCCTTTGCTCCTGGCTGACGCTCTGTTTCGCTGTCCCGCAGGGCCCCTCCCTGGCGTTCTCCCGCAGGGCAGCAGGCTGTACGACATCATCAACACGGTGCCCGTGCGGCGCTGGAAGGAGTTCATGCGGGTGCTGGAGCTGCACGACGGCGAGATCGAGGTGGTGGAGCTGGAGTTCGCCCACGTCCGGGACCAGCAGTACGAGATGCTGAAGAGGTGGTACCAGCAGAAGAACGCCACGCTGGAGTCCATCTTCTCAGCCCTGGAGCGCATGGAGCTGGCCGGCTGCGCTGAGGAGCTGAGGCAGCGGTTGCAGAGGTGCCCGTGAGCCTGACGCTGCTAGCCAGGGCTGGCTTCCCTGGCTGCCCTCCACGGGCTCTGACTTGGGATGGGAAGGAGAAGGCCTCTCCCGGGCCAGCGGAGCCAGCCCTGCTGTCGCTGCGGGCAGGGCCTGCCACGGCCTGGCGCTTGGAGGAGCCCTGTCAGCAGATCTGGCGGCTGCTGTACAACCAGGACCCTAGTGAGGGAGGGCAGCTCTATGAACGCCCTGAGCAATGCTGTGCCCGGGGCCAGCGAAGCCGCACGCCGCTCCTCTGCACAATGGCGGCACTGGGACGAGAGGGGACACACAGCAGGCGTCACCGCTCCCTCCCCTCGTAAGGAAAGCCTGCATCTCAGCCCGCGAGGAGCCGGGTGTGCGGATGGCAGCGGGGGAAGCAATGCACCCCCGGAGCAACAGACTTGGTGGTGGCAGCAGACCAAGGCAGGCAGAGGGATGGTCTCAGCATCATTGCCGCTGTGCTGCTGCTGAGTCACGCTTCCCTCGCCCGGCCCTCAGCCCCAGCTGGGCTCCATTTCCAAATGGGCCTCTCCAGGGGCACAGACACTGCCAGGGCTGGGGGGCAGAACCCCCGCCCCACAGGACGCAGGCCCTGAAGAGCCCTCCCCGGCTGTGCTCCAGGCACCTCTCCACAACCCCAGCTTGCCCTCTGAAGGGGGAATTGGGGTTCTTGTGGAAAGTCCCCCCCATCCTGCTGGGTTTACAAAGCAAACCCTGCTCAGCCGGCTCCAGGTGCAGGGCACGGAGCGTCCCCAGCCCTAGCTAGACTGAGCACCCCGGAGCAGCGCAGGGCTGGGGCTGGAGCCCCTGCCGGCAGCTTAGTGCTAACTCTCACAGCTGAGGCTGGTCGTGTGGGCAGCTTCCTAGATCCCCGTGGCTAAGGAAGGGAGAGTGTCCCCTGGGCCCTGCCACTGAGTCAGGGCAGGACCTTGGGCCAGTCAGCTCACCGCTCTGGCCCCATTTCCCCGTGCGGGATGCTGCTAACCTGCGTCAGGCAGCAGGAGCACGCGGAGCCCCGGGGGCGGGAGGCGCTGCCAGCAAAGGGCTGGTTCTAGTGTCAGGTCCAGGCTCCTCCGGAGGAGGGGGGCTCAGGGCCAAGCCAGATCAGAGTTGAGCTGAGGGGGATCCTGGAGCCCCAGTGCTGAGCTGGCCTCGTCCTGTGCCCAGCGCTGACTCGACAACACTAGCACCTGAAGCAGAGGGGTGACTCCGCTAGTGCTCCCTCTGGGCTCAGAGTCCCCTGGGGCTCCACACTGCCCGCACCGCGGTCCCTCGCCTGGCCCCAGCCTGCTTAGCAACCCCAGGGAGATGGCAGCTTGCCCCATCTGGGAGCTGTTCTAGCGGGCCTCGCTCCAGGGCTCGCCATGTCTGCTGAAAAAGCACTTTGTGTAGGTGCCTGTGTGGCCAAACTCAGGAAGAAAAGTCTAGCAACCAAAAATGCTGCCCCCCACCCCGGAAACAACATGCCTCTGGCACAGAGCCTTAAAGGGAAGGGAGGCTGAGTGGCACGGCCCAGGAGACCTGCCTTGCTAGCTAGCTACAAGATTCACCCAGCACGTGGGAGCCTTTAAAAGCAGCCTGGCTCCATTACTGCCACCTGGGGCCTCTGCTGGCCCCAGGTGGGGGCAGGTTTGCCGATCCCCCGGTGGCCAGCTCAGCTGCGAGTGGCTTAGTCCAGCAGCCCCCTGGGGAGGGCTGGGGCAGCGCAGCTTGGGGGGATGGGAGCACTGTACCAGTAAGTATTGTTACTTATCTTCGGTAGACATTTTATGTCAATTATTTGTATTGCTGGTTCTGTCCTGCAGTAGCAGGGGCAGACCCGTTCTGTTCTTGTGTTGCAACGGGACGGGGCCTCTTCGGAGCTGGGGACTGCCCCAGCGAGCTGAGGAGAGGTGGCGGGTTCGTACCTTATTTATACCCCATGTTGCCTTGAGGAAACTGATCCGAATCGGTTACGTCACACCCACTGCCGCTGCTGCGTGACCGAAACGGGGGCTCAGCTCTCCTGCGGGGAAGCCCTGCCTGGTTCTCTGCGTGGGGGGGGGGGGGGTGTTTGTGGTGGGGCAGGTCGTGCTGCGCCCCAGCGTCACTGAGCTCAGACCGTTGGTGCCCCAGCTCCTAGTGCTGGGGGCTTCAGTGATCCCTGTCTCAATGGACGGAGCGGGAGGAGCAGCCAGCACCTTCCTGAGCAAGTATCTCTGCTCCAGCTGGGCCTGGGCGCACAGGCGCCTTGCCGCAGGCTGTGGCTGCGTGTGGACGGGGGCTCTGGAACGTGCACGCAAGGAACGGCTGAGCTGTTTCTGGGGTGACTGGGACGGGGGACAGGGCTCTTCCCCTGTCGGTAACTGACAATAAATCACTGTGGTGTTGCTCAGTCTCACGAGTGGCTTTTCTTCTGGGAGGGGCTGGAGGCTGGGAAATCCCCAGTCCCTGAGCTTGGGGAGAACCAGCTGCTCCCAATCCAGTCCCAAAGACCTCCTGGCCTAAGGCACCAAGCGGACGCTGGGGGGCACTTGAGATGCAATCCAGAGGGCTGGGCTGATGTTAATGCATGTGGCTAATTTTGTTAGTGGTTAGCTAATGATAATATTTGTTAACTAATTACAGTTAAATGAACTAGACTCAGCTCTGGGCTGCTCTTAATGAATTTAGCAAGCTGGCTCAGGGCAATTCAAACTCACTTCCTGGGGTTGCCTAGGTCCTGCTCTCTCCCCCTCGCTTGGCTTTTGGATAGAGGCAGGAATGCAAAGGGCCCAGCTGCCCTGCCACAGGACTGGAGGGAAAGGATGGTGCCTGCTGGAAGGAGTCCGTGGCAGGGGCAGATGCAATTGGAACCAGAAGGTCGGGTACCCCCGTGGGAGCTGACTCGAGGTTGTGTGTGTAGCAGAGCAAAGTCCTGGCCCTTGTCGCCTCTCCCAGAGTCTGTATTTAGATAACACCCGTTTTACAGCTGGTGGGATCGGCCTTTGCGGGTCTGTTGTTCTGAAGAGGCATTGTCCAGTCCGTTGGGAGCAGGCTGGCGCTGGGAATCTGCACCCAGCACTGCACGTTCATAGCCAAAGCAAATCCACATCAACAGGAGGTAAAATCAAGGAACTGGGCAGAAGCTGTCAGGGGGTGTCCTGTGCCCAGGCAATTCCCTGGAGAAGGAGCAGGCCTGGAAGAGTCCTGCCCCGGCTGCTTGTTCCTGCCCTCGCCATGGAATGAATATTGGGGGCTGACTTAAGTCTTGGATGTGACCAAACTGAAAGCAGAGCTGACCCCCCCCCCCCCGCGCCCGGCTCTGGTCTGGTTTGCTGGTGTGTGCTTTCCCCGGGTGGAGTAAGGGTGGGCATCCCCTGCAGCTGGGGCCCTGTGCGCTCACCTTGGGCCTGGAAGTGACCCGCTGGAAGCTGCCCAGGCCCGGGGACTGGAGGGGGAAGGGCATTATTTATTTATTTATTTAATGTTATGAATGGATGTCTGGTGCCTTCTTCCTGAAAACAAGCCAATGCCCATCCGGCAGGGGCCGTGACAGACTGTGACTCACTGGGCAGGCTGCTCGGCCAGCCCCGCACTGGGCATGGAAAGTCCCCGTGGCTTTACAGGGCTGGCACCCACGCTCAGGCTGGCTGCAGGGTTACCAGCTAGCGGGGGCTCCCCACCCTGCCCAGGGTGCCAGGCTAAGCACAGACCTACTGACTGGAGCCCAGGGCTTGGAAGGCAGGGCCCGGACCCACAGTGAGTGTTGAGGGGAAGGGGGTGAGGCTTGGTTGGCATGGGCCTGGAAAGCCAGAGGAGTGGGGGGAAGGGAGAGTGGGGGGGGGGCAGATCCCAGTGGTGGGGAGGGAGGGTTTGGGAAGGGGCCAGAGCTCAGTGGGGGAAGGAGAGAGTTGGGGGGGCAGATCCCAGTGGTGGGGGGGGAGGGTTGGGCAGGGGCCAGTAGAGTGGATGTCGGGGAGGCGGTGGCTGGAGGAGAGCTGGGCCCAGCCAGGAAGCCTTGGAGTGAGGTGTGAGAAGCAATATCCTGGCCACCCTCTGCAGCCTCTTGCCCGCGGCTTTAGCCTGCGACTGCGTCTGGGCCGTGCTCTGAGACCACAGGGGGCAGCGCCCAGGCAGGCCCAGCATGGATGCAGGGGAGCCCCCAGGGCTTCACAACAGACCTCCCCCCTTCCCAGCGGGGGGAGAGGCTGCCCCAGGCGCAGGGCCCCAGGGTGGTGGGGAGGGCACACTGCCTGCACTGATGCTCTGGCACTGGGAGCGAGGTCTAGCCAGCTGGGGGCTGGTGTTAAGCACACAAGGCACCCAGTGCACACCTGGCCGGCGCTCGGGGAGCAGGGCCCGGAGCCGAGTGGACAGAGCTCCTTGTGTGTAGAGGCAAGGGGGGACCACAGAAAGGAACAGGAAATGCCTGGAGGTGGTTAGTGTTTTATTGGTGAAGACATAGAAGTTCTAGGTCAGAAACAAGCTGAAAATCTCCCTCTAGAAGCTCCAGGAAACACGTGACAAAAACGTATAGAAAACAGAACGACCCCCCCCTGCTCTAATGGCAATGGTGCCAATGCAGGAGCAGGGGCTAGACGTAATATGGCAGCTGAAGAAACGGCTCGCATCAGCCCGACAGGGGCACAGAACTGTTTTTAACCATAAATTTTCTTTTAAAATGTCCATTTTGCAAAATGAAAATGATACCCAAGCATGGTCTATATGCCCGCATCTACAGGGCACCAACGGAACAGATACTAGTAGCAACTGACTCTCTATATACACAACATTCATAAACCCACATTCAGCTTGTCTGCATAGCCTTGTAGGATCTCCACTATTCCTGGTAAAAGTATAGTTTATGGTAAACAAATGACTGACAGGGAGTGGAAAGGCTGGGCAAGGAGACACTTAAAGGAATGCTGTTCAGTATTAAGGTGGAGGGAAGGTTTTATGTGGAACAGAACCGTCTACAGAGTTGACCATATTTACCGTCACGGAGGAGTTTCTTTTGATCCCATACACAGCTACTCACTGACTTAGTTTCACTTGTGAGTTCCACTTTTGAAAACCTTTCCCATGCCCTAAAACTCTTTCAAGCTAAGTTGTTTATGGATGCGGCCCACCAGGGCGTTGCTAGACAGGGACAGCGTTCTCTGTGATGTTAGTGGGTAGCCTTGTGGCATGGATTTCGTTAGAGGGATGGACACTAGCTAGGCCATTAAGTAGTAAATGACTTTTCAGCTGGTAGTGTCTGCAGTGGGAAAGAGCAGCTGGCTCCTCCTTGACCTACTGAACAGCTCACGTTAAGGAAGAAAGTTCTTAAATTCCCAAGAGGAGAGAGGGACTATTGAGCGCCTAATGCTTTGCTATATCCCCTTTCTTGAGGATAATTTGCCTTTGCCAGGGGGCTAGTTTTGTTTCATCGTACCCAAGAGTCCTTAGCTTTTCTGACTGCGCTTTCTCCTTCGCCTCCTCTTCGCGCTTCAATTTTTCTTGCTCTTTTCTGTTTAGAAACAAAACAAACATGGGGATGTTGGTTGCAAAGCCCAGGCCCCTGGCACTGAACTGGTCGGCGTGGAGCGAGGGTCTGAGCAAAGCAAAGCACACAAGCCTGCTTCGTCTGGCCCTGCCGGGGTACAGGGGCCTGGCCAGGAGTGAACGGACTGGGTTCTTAGGCTACTTGAGAAGTAAATGGAGAAGCAGGACTCACCGTTTTTGCTCTCTGTGAAAACAAGGAGAAAGAAAATACAATTAGCTCCCAGCGGCACAGCTATCGGGCAGCCACCGTCATGGCCCAGCTCAGGGACAACTCACCTTTCCTCTTCCATCTTCTTCCGCAGGATCTCTCGCCTCCAGGCTGGCATGGTGGCCAAGCGAGCTTCTTCTTCCTTCTCCTGTAAGACAGTAAAAGGCATTAGGGAGGCCCGTGAGCCCCTGCAGAGCTGGAGGGAGGGCAGCAGGAACAAGAGAGCTAGGCTGGAGGACGCGTCTCACCTAGGCCAGCCCTATGGAGCTGGACCAGCCCAAGCAGCGAAGAGGGGAGACGGCCGGTCGATCGGGCAGGGCTGCCAAAGGGGGAGGGGGAATTCCGTGGCTCTCAGGTGGCCATGTGGCATCTGGGGGAGTTTTGACCCAAGAGGCTACAGGGAAAGGCAGAGGTGCCACCGTTGCCAAGGGCAGGGGAGAACCCTGAGGACACATGGAAGGTACAAAGAACGGCCCGTTGCCCCCCAGAAAGGAGGGTGTGCAATGGAGAGCACGGCACCGCCGTTGCCCCGACGCAGCAGGCCCTGAGCAGGGAGTGGCTGTGGCTAGAGTCAGACAGCTGTGGGGGGGCCAGGCCCTGCTAACACGCGCACCCCCACCTGGCCAAAAGTCAGCAGAACACTCCTCAGCTGAGCGGCTTGGCTGGCGAGGAGGGACACTTGGGTAGCTCCTGGTACCCTGGGCTGGCCAGAGCTTAGCAGGGCCGTTATACAAGGGGCAGGAGCTCAATGCTCCACTTGTGCTGAAGGAGACTTCGCGCTGAGCGGGGCATGGGCGCCGTGGCCACCAGAGGTTGCTGCCTAGAAGGAGCTGGAGAGTTGTTTGTACTGGCACCGCCCTGCCTAGGGCCTGCCTAAGAGCAAAGTAGAAATGGCACCGCATGGAGGGGCAGACGCATGCCCTGCTTCTGGCTAGCTACACACCGGGCTCTGCGGGCTGGCAACGCCACATGGGCCTTTTCGCAAATAATCCCGCCAGCGTTCCCCGCCTGCTCTCCATTGCTGCATGAGCTGTGTGTCCGCAGCCCCTCCGTCCAGCTTGCTAGGACAGTTCTCAGGCACAGCCGGGGGCATCTCTCAGGACCACGGCAGGGGACAGGTTGTGTGACTCAGTGAACGCGAGCCAGAGGCCAGAGGAAGAGCGGTGGAAGACTGCTGCAGGCCAGCTGATGGCTGATCTCAGCACTGCTTGGCAGGGAGCTCACGCATGGCCATGACCAAACTGTAGCCAGTGCAAGGTCCCCTGTGCTGTCCCCAGCACTTTGCCGCACCCTGCCCTGGAGAGCCCCTTCGAGAGGGGAGAGGTTAGTTCAGCATCCTCCCTCTGGGCAGTTGGTGGCTTTGCCCGTTAGTGCTAGCCCAGGGGATGCTATTTTAGTGTTTGATGAGGGAATGGGATTAAAAACACCAGCCTCCCCCGGGCCACCAAAGCGACAGCCAACAGGACCGTCTCTCAGCCTTTACTTCCAGAGCTAGATTTGAACGGGATGGGCCAGGCCTGCTCTCCATCCCAGCAGTGTGATCGCAGAGTAACTCCACAGGATGGGATCCTGGCCCTTACACCTCAGTCTTCAGCCAAGCGCGACCAGATGGGACCTAGTGTGGGGGGCAGAGGCCTATATTCCTGCAGCCGATCACTGATCCCCCAAGCCAACCACTCCCCTAAGACTGAAAGAACGAATCAGGTCTGGTGTGGGACCAGGCACATTTGACTACAGCAGACGGCTCGACCAACGGCTCTGGGACAGTCTGACAGCAACGCAGGCTACCCCAGAGCTCTTGGGCAGCACTAACGCCACGTGGGACGTCCAGGTTAGGTTACGTGTCCTGATTAATCAACAGCGCCACACAGCAGAGGCAGCACCTGTGGCGTGAGCAAACCTTCCCGTAACTCCCTTTCCCAGGTTGCTTGATGGTTTCTGAGGAGCCGGTTCTCTAGCTTTGTAAAGAGATGCACGCAGGACCCGTCCCTCGCCACCGCGTGCCTCTGCTTTCATGTGCAGCCGTGGGAGAAGAGGCCGTGAGCTCTGGCCTGCACTAGCCCCTGCTTCCCGGGTAGTGTTGGGGCTGTGACCTGGCGGGACCCGCAGTAGCATGGCTCTGTTGCCGTCTAACGGCTGGTTTGGTTACGGAGAGCGACTCACACGGGCTAGCTAAGCCCCTGAGAGTCTGTCAGCCCCTCTTGGTCGGCGCGTCCCATGGGAGCGAGCATGTAGGTAATTCCTGGCTTGTGCTGGGGATGCTGGGAGAACAGACCCTCTCATGTCACAACGGGTTTTGGAACCAGGCTTGGCAATAGATCAGGCTGTGAAATGTGCACGCTCAGAGCTGGGGGCAGCATTCAGGCTGGTTCTGATTTCATGTGTGTCTCCATGAGACGGGGCCCAACCCTGCCACCACCAAAATCACTGGCAGCAGGATTGGGCCCACGGGGCGATGCCAGATGGAAGTTTCCCCACACACCATGCTTGGATCTCTCCTCCCTGCTGTCTAGCTTGATTACAGGCCCATGGAAGTGTGAACCCTCAGGGCTACTCCCTGGGCAGGAGCTCCAACACCCAGTTAGCAGACGTGAGGCCGTCCGGCAGGGCTTTCCAGCTGCTGGGAAAGGGCAGGGGTGCGGGCTTGGCACAGCTACACCCCCCACCTTTTTCCTTCTTTAAAGTTGACTGTTTTGATGCTGCAGGAGCCAGGCTGGGCGCTGGGCTTCAGGCCACATTCACCAGGTCAAATATGCATCTGGTAAGAGCTTACTGGCCCTATTCCTTGGGTGTTTGCAGGACACTGGGCTTGGAACAGCCAGTGCCCCAGAGCAAGGTGTCGAGGGCACCAAATCCCACGGAAACAGCCTTGACACTCCCTTCTGAGAGCAGAGAGCTTTATTCCTTCATCGTCACAAGCAGTGTTAGGGAAGATGCAAAGTGTGCACACACACACCCTCCCCCCATTGTAAAGCAAAACTCATTTCCAAATGTCTATACAATAAACACTCTGGTCCTATCTCCATTCCAAGCCATGCACATTCCACTAAGGCAAGCAACAGACTTGGGAATCCTCAAAGAACAGCGTGGGCCCAGTGGTCTGTAGTTTGAAAGCACACAGCATCAAAGGGAATTCGCCACACGGCTGGAACATGCTACGGATTTGCTAATCTGGTTGCAGAACCATGCACTGTGAGACCAATTAGTACAGCACTCAGCTGTGCTCACTATGGACCCAGGGCAACTGTGGCATGTTCCTCCACCTCACCAGAGGAAGGATGGAGCTGCTCATACCAGTTCCTACTCCCAAATCACTGGCTCCCCAGCTACAGGAAACATTTAGCTAAAGAAGTGTCTGTAAAATGCAGAAAACTGGAGACAGCTTGTGTCACTGTACATTTGTCAGGGATTAGCTCTTCCTCCAGCTAATGCAGGACTACAGCAAATGTACACACTGCTCGAGAGGAAAATCCATGGACCACCTCCTACAGGAAACCGCAACCAGCCACAACTTCATGTGACACATGGTTACAGCCGCACCCTGGTCAGTTCAGCCAGCAGGGAGCATCGGCTATACAAGAAGCTTTACTTGAGAAAGAAGAGGACTTTGTTGAGACTGTCCATGTAGGGAATTCAGGATTCAACAAAACACCGCAGACTCTGGGACTAATCCTGCCGTCCTTATGCAAACCAAACTGCCATTGAGGTCACTGGAGTGCTGAAGCCCATGGGAGTCCTGCCTGAATAATGATTGCAGGATTGGGGCCCCTCTGACTAACATGAACACTACATTGTTTCTATTCAGAGTCCCTAGTCTGCACAGTAGAATCCTGTACTGGGTGCAGCCGGGGAATATGTGCTTCTTTTGTCTGTCGTATAGCTCTTCACCTAGGCATCAGATAAAATGATTACAGGGCTCTCCCCAAAGGTTTGTCTTGGGCTCAGACAGCTGTTGGAGCTCAGTTCATCTTGGAAATACAACGGGTCCCTCAAGTAATTAACTGAGCCAAAGCAGCTCTTGTCAAATGCTCTGGTGCCGGCGCACGTTTGATTGTCCCCTGCTGTCCCTGGAGCTGTTTCTCAGCCAGCAATTCCCTCTATGAGATGGACCAACATCCCGCCTCAAAGAGGATCCGCTCGCCTTTCCCTGCGACTTGTGAGCCGTGTGGGGCGAGGGTGTGGATGCCCCTGCCTGCTTCTAACACAGCGTGTGCTGGGCACTGCTTGGGGAGAGCTCAGATATCAAACATCTCTGCCTCCTTCTCTTTCCAGAAGGAGAAGCTACGGTCTATATAGCGACAAATGTCCTCATTACTGAACTCGCCTAGCTCGGAGACCAGCTGGATGGAGCTCTCCCTACTCTTAGGAGCAGGGGCTAGGCCCAGTTCATCGGGCGCTGGAGCGGGCTGTGGGACATCACTGACTAAGCTCTGGCAGGATTCCTGATGGACCAGCTGTGGAGGCTGGGTTCCTGCTGGGACCTCTGTTTCCACTGCGGCCGCTTGCTCCGGCTCCAGGCTGTCCCCAAAGAACTCCTGTTTGAGATCTTCAAAGCCATCCAGCCAGTCCCGCTTCCCGGCCTCGATCTCCTCCATCACCACCTTGTGGAACTGGCGGATGAGCTCCCAGCTGTGGCTGCCCAGCCGGTCAAACATCTCGTAGCACAGAAGGTGCCGGAACTTCCTCTCCTCGCGGCTCATGCTCATCTCCAGGAGCTGGAAGTAGCCCAGCATGAAGAGGTCCAGCGTCAGGCTGTCGTACTCCACTGGGGAGCCACAGACGTGCGGCAGGAAGTGCTCGGGCCAGTACAACATGTTGGTGCGGCTCAGACGGCGGATCTGCCGCGTCGGGACCTGGCTGATGATGTTTCTCCAGTGGGCGATCAGCTTCCCCACCACCTGCCTTTGCTTCATGAAGTACAAGAGCCGGTCATCCTCGCTGGGTTTCTTCCCGGTCGCCATGGGGACTGGGGCGCTGCTATGTGCCTTGGGCTCCTTGCTGAACTCTGAGTCGAGCGTTTCGGCGAGACCCATTTTCCTCTTGGGGCGAGCGTGGCTAACCGACTCGGTGAACGTCCACTTCTTCCAGTGCTCCAGGAAGAGGTAGACGATCCGCTCCTTCCGCATGTCGATGTAATCCTGCACGCAGCTCAGCTCCGTCTGCACGGGGAGGCTTCTGGTCAGGTGGTCGGAGCTGAACAGGGCCTCCCCGAAAGGCTCCGTGGCCGCACTCTGTGCCTCTGTATCCCTGGAGGGCCGGGGCCCTGCTTCGCAGTAGGGCAAGGGAGCGTGCTCTAGCATACTGGGTGGCTCAATGCCATCCGCTGCAGCATCTTCGCTTAGCGCACTGAACAGATCACCGCTCGTTATGTAATCCTCCTCCAGGATGGGCTCTCGGCCGTAGCTATATGGCATGGTTCCCACAGGCAGGGACCTCTTCCGCTTGTACACCCTGCTGGACACAGCCTCCGGCAGCCGGCACAGCGTGTGCAACTCATAATTGGCCTTCAGGTTCTTCACCGACACACCACATTGCATGATCTCCTTCTCCACCTCCTCCCGAGTGGAGCTGAAGGACTGTGATCTCCCGATGTTAGCAGGGCCCTCTTTTAGTGGTGCTGCCTCGGGCGAGGTGCTCGCGGCCTGGCCCGTGTGCTCGGACATGTCAGGGCTCACCATGTCTGCCAGGTTGACCGCCTTGCCCCCAAGCATAGCCAGGAGGATGGCCATGCTCTTTAGGAGAGTGGAGATCTTGCTGCACCAGGCCGGGAGATCATCGGCTCGGCCTTGCATGCGCTTGGGGTTTGCCGTGAAATGCTCCTTTGCCAAGGCGGCAGAGAGCGGCAGGAGCTGCTGCATTTCATGCTCTAGCTGTTCCAGCTCCGTCTCCACCTTCTGAACTTTGTGCATCACTTGGAGGCTCTCGATTTGCTTCTCAATGCGGATTATGTCCTCCTCAGTCATCAGCTGCCCGAAGGGTCCCAGAATGCCATTGTGTGCATGGGAATACCTCCAGCCTTCGTGATTGTAGTAACTCCCGGTCCCAAGCTAAGGCAGGGGGGAAAAAACATCTCCCTCAGGACAGAGCTCCACATTGTCCTTTCTCTGCACACGCTCTAGACTTTACATGTCCTTAGTGGTGTAATGGCAATGGGCAGGCTGGAAATACTGAACGCAAGGAGAGGGCAGGAGAGTGTAGACAAAGGCAGACGATACAAAGCCAATGGAGTGAGGCAATGAGGCTGGAGGAGAGCGCCTGTTTGCATCGCGCACGCTCTGCTGGAGAGAGAACTTTGCTAAGAATATGTTGTTGCTAGTCCCTGATCAAAGGATACAGCAGCAGATGCTTCCAGGAACCGCTCACTCATTACACCACTGAATGACCATGTAAGACATTTAAACCTGCAGTATCATCTCCGTGTGAAATGGGAGAGTTGAGGGGTTTGGTTTTGTTTATAAACCTCCCCTGGGTCCTCATTTTAAAGTAGAAAATGGCAGCTCTGGGTGATCATTGGTTTGGGTGGAGTGGGCACCCTCTACCAGCTGTTAATAGCTGACCCGTGATGGAGCTTTCAGCTCAGGTGACAGGCGTAGCTCATAGTCGATAGCCCCACGTGTGCTAAATACTGCAGTTTAAATGCATCTCAGAGTTGATCAGAACACTGCAAAGAGCTCAGACTCATGCCGAATGCTTCATTTCATGCAGAACTCTCCACAGCACACACACAAATCTTAACGGGTCAAACGTTTCTGAAGGGAAGCCAAGTCCTCTGTGTGAACAAGGCATGTCCAGAAGGAAAATAATTGGGGACTGGGCTTCGGCCCTAACAAACTGCGTCTAAAAGAAAATCCAAGCCCAGAAAACAACTGGAGAAATAAAGACTTTTCAAGCTGAGAGTGCGGTTCCCCAAATCCTCTGCACCCCCAAATCACTGACTATCAGGGTCACTTTCTAACAGCGCTGAGATGGCCTGGCTGAAAGGACTGCGCAGTGGCAGGGTTTTAAGGTAGGTTTTAATGGAGGCTTACGGATTTCTTTAGAATTAATCCTCCACAACTGACCATTTACCCAGATGTAAGAGCCCTGCACGGGGTAGGCGGCTCCAGCCCACTGGAGCCGACATCAGAACTGCAGAGCTCCATTGCAGCAGGAATCGGAGGAAGGACAGCTCCCCGTTACAACCACGGGCTCTTTCACCGTCAGCAAAACAAATCACTGCTGAGCAGGACCTGTCGAATTCCCAAGGCAGCCGGAACAGGCCTCTGAGCAGCCACGGCACCACCAGGCCGAGCCCCGCCAGGAAAGGCTAGCAGACCGTTCTGGCTACTGCCCCGGACGTGAGCGCACTCGGTTCCCGAGTCCAGCTGGCGTGGCTGTTGCCCCTTACCCAGCTCCTACAGCAGTGCTGGGGCTGAGCCTTGGTCCCGGTTATCCTCCCCTGAGCCCTTTCAATTAATAAAAAGCTTCCTGCTGCATCAGTCGTGGCTGAGATTTTTCCAAGCCCACTAGCTGCACTAACCCCCGTTAACCTGGCTGGGAGCCGTGTGTGGGACACTGATCAATTGTCCGGTCAGCTTCAGAAATCTCCGCCCAGCCTCCCTCTTCAGACAATCCACGCGGAGCAAGGCAATGCACGCGTTGCCATGGCGGGGGGAGTCAGTACAGACGCTGTGGGATACAAATCCTCACCACATTTCGGTGGGAATTTCACTGCAGTGGAGGGAGGGGCCCAGCCTCCCAGGGGTCTGTCCAGCTAAGGCAGATGTTCATTCGGTTGTGGGGAGGGTTCTTTCATCTCGCCAGGAGGCATATTGCTGCTCATGCTACCAGTTGGACTCCTCCAGACAGACCCACTCTGTGATTGGGTCTCTCTTAGGGTCTGGAACGGTGTCCACCACATCACCATTGTACCCGAGCACCTTCCATGTTAACAAGAAAACCAGGAGACGATGCTGTGAAAAATCCACCACGTCTGCAAAGGTCTTAAATATGGTTTGACCTTGATGCTTCCCCTGGCCTCCCTGCCCAGTCTGTTTACCCACCTTGCTCTGCATTTGGTTTCTACAACAAGCCCAGGCTGACGTGAGAGCAAGCGTCTCTGCAGGGCTGAAAGCAGCCGCTTGCTTGCCTCTGCTCTTGGACAAAGGTGTCACCCAGACTGCATGTTCCTTCCGCTTGGGGCTGTCTCTCATGCTAACATGCCTTGAGCTGCAGGTGGCTCCTACATGGCCCCTCTCTGGTTCTCCAGGACATGCCAGCCAGCCTGGCCTTCCATGGATCCCATCTCTGCAGCCCTTGGGGAACCGCACTCAAGAAGCAGCTTAGCAAAGACTGAACTCTGGGATGGCTTGTGGCTTTGGCTTGCCTCTGGGGAGGTTTTGCATCACAAAGCTTTCCTCCCGCTGTAGGGCTACCTTGGCTGCCTGGCAGGACCGGGGCCTGTCTGGGTGTGTCAGTCGTGAGTGCTAGTGTGGCTGCTTGGGCCCTAGCACAGCAGGGTGTGCATGGATACAGACAGACCGTGCTGCACAAGTGCACCTTGGCCTCCCGCTGTCGCACGGAGCCTCACTGATGTACTCATCAAGCAGTTCCCCCCGCTGTGAGCCAGGATGGCATGACCCATCCCTTCGTGGGCACCTGAACCCAACTGGAATCCTTGGGCCGCTCAGCAGAGCAGGTGGGAGCCTCCCCTCTCATTTCTGGGGGTGGGGGAGCCAGGCCGTCAAGTCGGACACGCTTCCCCCAACCCCAGCACTCTCTGACGAACGCCCCAAGCGAGTGGACATGCTGGCGCGCCAACCTGTAGCCGCTTTCTGGGCAATGCTGAGTAGAACACAAGACGTGTTTCTGAAGGTGAAAAACTCTGAACTCCTGCCTATTGACCCAAGGGAAATCGGGGGTTAAACAGGGGGTTTATGGGTTAGACGCTGGGCTGTCTGCTTCTCCTGTAGCCATTGAGATAAAGTTGCAGGCTCTGTCGGATGCCCGACTCTACTAGCTGGGCACGCGTAATGACTCCTGCCTGTTCAGCGTTATCAACACAAGGAGCTGCTGCCTGGAACAACCGGAGCGGCACCGGGGCTGCTAGTCTGCACCAAGCCGTGATGATTGCCTCTCCCATAATGCACTTTGCCGGCTGGGAGGGATGAGGGGTTTTCCTCTACCTGGCCCGGAGGCCCAAATTCTGCCCCGTGCAGCCCGGCTGGCCGAGGCTCGCTGGCTCCTGTGTTCCCCGTCCCCCTTTCTGAGCTGCCGGGTCCAACCCAAGGGCAGTTAGAGCAGCTGTCTAAGGCCCCTCTCACAGCACACGGCAGAGGACGGTCACAGCACACCGCACTGCAGCACTTGGAGGCCCGCCCTCCCTCTTACCTTGCGCTTTTGCTCTTCCTCTTCCTGAATCTTCATCTGCAGCTTCCGCACCATCACCTGCCTCTTCCACTCAGGGATGGGTCGCCCCTGCTCGTCGTGGGTGGGGATCAGGGCCTCGATGTCCAGCTGGCTGGGCTGCACCGAGGCCATGAGCGGCGAGTTGCCGTTGACGACCGGCTCAGGGGAGCTGGCGGCCCTGGGGATGGAGGCTGCATCGGGCGTGGTTGGTGGGGTCAGTGTCCTCGCGGGGGGCAGGGAGGAAGCTGCAGTCTCTAGCTGGATGGCAGAAAGAGGAGAGGGCTTTAGTTCAGGGCGTGGTGCGACACGAGGGAGATGCTACATGAGAAGGTGCTCGCTCAGAGAGAAGTTATCCGCCTTTCCGCGGGAGGGAGCCCAGGACCCCGATCATCCGCGGACTCCCTCTGCCCCATGCTGGCAGTGCTTAATTTGTGCCAGGGCTTGCTGGGGCTGAGCCCCGGCCCCTCTGGGCCTGGCAGTTCAGAGCCCCGGCACTGCTGAGCCTGGCGGTTCAGAGCCCGGCCCCTCTGGGCCTGGCAGTTCAGAGCCCCGGCCCCTCTGGGCCTGGCAGTTCAGAGCCCCGGCACTGCTGAGCCTGGCGGTTCAGAGCCCGGCGCCTCTGGGCCTGGCAGTTCAGAGCCCGGCACCGCTGAGCCTGGCGGTTCAGAGCCCGGCCCCTCTGGACTTGCTGCATCAGTTATGAAAGTTAAAAAATTGCTTAAGTCCTGGCACCTCTGTCATTGCAAAGTAAGTCCTGTGTGCGGGACATTCTGTGCTGGGGAGCCCAGCCCCTGCAGCTGTGGGGACCGAGACCCTTCCTCCAGGTGTTTGAGCCATTCCGGAGAGGGGCTGAACTTTGCCATTCTCCTCCCTCGCCCAGCATCTGTTGTATGGGCTTTGGGGCAGCGCCTGCCTCTCGCTAGGTGTTTGTACAGCGCCTGGCCCTGCGGATCCTGGGGCCTCGGGGTGCAGTGTGAGTCACAGAACTCAATTCGACAGGAGGGCTCAAAACAGCCCCGGGAAAGGAGCCTCTTTCCTGTCAGACCCATTGACCCTGTACACGCGGGAGCCTCACAGCAGCCCTGCCTCGGGGGGCCACGCTGGCTCTGGGGTGCTTTGGAGACTCCCCACCCCAGCGCTCCCTAGGAGGGCTGGTGCCCCGTTTGGACAGCTGCTCCTGGCTGGGGAGAGCCCGCCGTCTTTGCTGGGTGCTCTGCAGTGAGGACAGTGGCTGGCGGCTCCCCCGGGGGGAAGGGTCCATTGACTCCTGGCCAGAGTGCTCTGTGGGGAGCGGGCTCAGGGGTTGCGGGAGGAAGGCCTGCCATTGCCTGGGTTTTAGCGCTGGAGTACACAGCCTGTCCAGGGACGATCGCTGCCCACGACTCTCCAGGGCTCCATGGGCCCCTGGGATTACTGGGAGCAGCGGCTGTCTCCTGTGGAAAGTGCCCCTCCCGCCTGGGCTCCCAGCACCCCTCCCCGGCGGCTCCCTGCTTACAGCACAAAGCGGATCATGCTAAATTTTGCTGAGGATTCCAGCTTGTTGTGACAATTGCAGCCAATCAAATTTGCCGCCCTTAATTAAAAACTTAATCCGGTTCCTAACCCAGCTCCCTCCCCCGGCAGAGACAATTGGCTGAGCGAGGCCCGAGTGGAGCGGGGCCAGCCAGTCACCTACATTGGCCCCCGCCTGGCCGCTGCCTGAGAAGACAGTGGTGAGGCCTTTGGTCTGCGGAGTCGGCTTGAGGCTCTTCCCAGCCTTGATCTCTGCCAGCAGCTCGGAGTTGTCACCGGTTGGGGACATCATATTGAACGACTTGCAACCTGGCGGGAGGAAGAGGGGATGTGGTGAGGAGACTCGCAGGAAACTTGAGCCCAGAGCCAGAGGATGTGGCCTCAAACTGCACCTTGGAGCTCAGCAGCTTCGGGCCACTTTGAACTGGGGGAGAGTCAGGGGCCCTGTGGGCAGCTTCTGTCCAGGCCTGCAGCTGCGGCGGAGCTCCCCTGCAGCGGGACGGGGGAGAGGCATTGCCCACGCAGGCCGTTCCCAAGCACCTGGGGCGTTGGAGGTCAAAACCTACCCTGAAAGTGAGAGGCGGCGGGCGTAGGTCCCAGAGCACAGAGCTGCTGCATTCTGCCTGCTGATGGACCGCAGGGCCCAGCTGAGTCCGGGTGACACGGGGGTGGCCCATCTGGAAGAACCAGGTACAGCCCCCAGCCAGAATCAGATGAGAGGGAAGCTGCTCTCTGATCCGTCTGAAATCACCTGGGGAACCTGCCCACACTGGACTCTGAACTTGGGGATGAATCTCCGTCTAATCTCAGCCAACTCCTGCAGCTGCATCCCCTACACCTGCCTCTGGCTAAGCCTAGCGCCTCGGGTGGTTTGGGCCACCTGGGCCCAAGCCCCCCGCACCATACAGCTGAGGTGGCGCCAAGTGGGCTGTGGGGGGCAGAGGGCTCAGGGATCGCACCCATGCCGGGTCCTCAGGAAACGGTTTGCTT